CTCATAGGAAACCTGCTACAAAACAGGAGCTTTCTTGTTGAGTGCCAGGGCCAAGGAAGCAGGGCCTGAGGCTGTTAGGAATGGTGGGAGTTGAAGTCCAAAACACCTGGAGGGCCAAAGTATAGTGATATTTGGAGGGATGGGTGACCTGGGGTGACCCCACTCTCTCTCCCAGCCTTGGAAAAGGGCCTCACCTCGGCTGATCCTCTGTTTCTCCCCCGAAAGGATCCCCGGCGTATCGATGACGCTGATGCTCTCCAGCACTGGGTTCGGCAGCTGAGCACAGACAAACCTGGGAGGGAGGTAAACAGAACACCTTTATTGTCATTGTACATCATACAACGGGATTAAATATATATATATATATATATATTCAATAATTAAGAGTGAGTAAAAAACGATATTATTTTGGACACATCAGGACAATTGGGAGGTATGTGACTGGGTCAAATTCCTCGTCGGGGAACTAAAGAGTCAACAGAATACTTCAGGACCTCTGAGGATGCTTATCATAGATGCATGCGAAATGTCAGGAGAGAATGCTTCTAGAACATGGCCGTACAGCCCGAAAAACCTATAACAACCCAACTGAATACAGATGGCAAAGGCACAGACTTGCTTGAAAAGCGAAGAAAGAAAGAACGATGACAAATGCTTAAAGCAGCAGGACGCACTCCCAAGCAAAGTGTGTTGTGTTGACTTTGACCAAAGGCCTTTCTCCCATGCTTCGGCCTATTTTCCTGGGCAAGAAGGACACTCAAATATTTCTCAAAGGCCAGGGCCATTTGGGAGGGAATCACTGATCCGGTTCCATTCCCTTCCTCTTATCGCCAGCATCAAACAACTTGAAAGCTGACTCCTCCTTCTACTGATTTATAGCCCTGAATTTCCCACGCAGGAATTGCTAGGGTGTCTCCCAATTAGCTCAGCGTTTTTAGCAGCTATTCTGGCTGACCGCCGCCTGTGCTTTGTCTCTTTCTGTCTCTCTAGAAATGTGGGCACTTTCAAACTTTCATCGTCTGATTCTTCTTCTCCCTCCAATTCCTGAGCACTTCCCTGCTCTTCTTCCTCTTCCAAAAATGAGGAACACAGGCATGCATGTCAAGCTCTGAGGATGACCTGGGAAGGACTCCCACTGGAACGTTGCAGCACACCCAAATATCTGGGTGTTGCTCTGGACCGTTCTCTGATCTACAAGAAGCACTGCCTGAATATCAAGTCAAAAATAGGCGCTAGAAATAATATCATATAAAAGTTGACTGGCACAACCTGGGGATCACAACCAGACACAGTGAAGACATCAGCCCTTGCGCTGTGCTACTCTGCTGCTGAGTACGCATGCTCAGTGTGGAACACATCTCACCACACTAAAACAGTGGATGTGGCTCCTAATGAGACATGCCGCATTATCACGGGGTGTCTGCGCCCTACACCACTGGAGAAATTACACTGCTTAGCCGGTATTGCACCACCTGACATCCGCCGGGAAGTAGCACCAATAGTGAAAGGACCAAGGCAGAGACATCTCCAGCTCATCCCTGTTTGGGTATCAGCCAGCACATCAACGACTTAAATCAAGAAATAGTTTTCTAAGATCTACAGAGACACTCGCTGGAACACCTCAGCAAGCGAGAGTCCAAAAGTGGCAGGCTCAAACCCAGAACCTCAACCAATGGCTGATACCAAATGAGAGACTCCCCCCTGGGCACACAGAAGACTGGGGACTTGGAAGGCGCTGAACAGACTGCGCTCTGGCACCACGAGATGCAGAGCCAACCTTAAGAAATGGGGCCACAAAGTGGAGTCCGCGACATGCGAGTGTGGAGAAGAGCAAACCACTGACCACCTGCTGCAATGCAACCTGAGCCCTGCCACATGCACAATGGAGGACCTTCTTGTGGCAACAGCAGTGGTCCAAAGACACTTAATATAATGCCAACTTTCTAAACTTTGTGATTTCTCAAATACATCACAACTCTACCCTTGGTTTGCTCCTGATAAATACAAATCTATGTTCCAAAACTGTCTTTCCAACAAAGAAATGAGTTTGAATCCAAAGGAATGCAACTCTATAATCTCTGCAAACGGTATAATCTCTTCTGGGAGGACGAGGGCTTTGCGATGATTCAGGCTGGAAGATAATGAGAAGCCGAGACCGACTTGTGCAAACTTGATCGAGACGAAATGGAGAGTCTAACGAACCCAGGCATAAGCAAACTTTGGCCTCCCTCCAGGTGTTTTGGACTCCAACTCCCAGCATTCCTAACAGCCTCAGGCTCTTTCCTTTCCCCCCTCAGCTGCTTAACTGTTCTCATGACTGTATCTGCATAACAAAGAGTAAACACCTTTATTCTTTACTGATCTTCTGCCTGGCATATCTTTTCTCTTGCAAGGCAGTGTGTGGAAAAGGCCTGAGGCTTTAGGAATGCTGGGAGTTGGAGTCCAAAACACCTGGAGGGCTCAAGTTGGCCCATGCCTGTCATAGTCTCAAGCAATTCGACCTAGTTTGTGCCATCAACAAAAACAAAGTTTCTGGAGGAGAACAGCTACTTTCCAAGTAAGGACCACATAATCAAACAGGAAATAACACTTTCGAAACAGGAACAGGTTTTTTTTAAAAGGGTTGATGAAGAAACCCCAAAATTTCAAAGCCTGCAAGGGTAACATTGTGCCTTTTTGCATGCAAAGATCCTCTCATTGCCCTTCATTCCTGTTGGAGCATGTAAAAATCAGTTGGTGAGTGTGTTAACTGAAAAATGCAAGAAGCTAGCCGAGCCTGGGAGTTTTGGAAACAGTTACATGATTTAAGTTTTCTATGCAGGAACTTGTCAAGATAGTTTATATTTCTGTCTCTCACACGGACACCCAAGGACCATTTGAATCTCTCTCAAAGGACATTGTGGGAGTCAAAGCAACTGTTCTCATGACTGTATAATAATAATAATAATAATAATAAAAAAACTTTATTTCTACCCCGCCATCATCTCCCCGATGGGGACTCGTAGCGGCTTACATGGGGCCAAGCCCGGACAACATAATACAGCAATAAAATCAAAGCATATACAACAGACAACAACAACATTATCAAAATGACATTAAAATAATAATAATAATAATAATAATAATAATAATAATAATAATAGTAATATCTGCATCTATGTTGCTCTGCCTGAAGCTGTTAGGAATGGTGGAAGTTGGAGTCCAAAACACCTGGAGGGTTCAAGTTGGAAGAAGCTAGCCGAGCCTGGGAGTTTTGGCCACAGTTCCATGTTTAATCAGAGTGTGTTAACTGCAAAATGCAAGAAGCTAGCCGAGCCTGGAAGTTTTGGCCACAGTTACATGTTTAATCAGAGTGTGTTAACTGCAAAATGCAAGAAGCTAGCCAAGCCTGGGAGTTTTGGCCACAGTTACATGTTTAATCAGAGTGTGTTAACTGAAAAATGCAAGAAGCTAGCCAAGCCTGGGAGTTTTGGCCACAGTTACATGTTTAATCAGAGTGTGTTAACTGAAAAAAATGCAACAAGCTAGCCGAGCCTGGGAGTTTTGGCAACAGTTACAGGATTAAGTTTTCTATGCAGGAACTTGTCAAGACAGTTTATATTTCTGCTTCTGGGTGGTTGGAAGAAGATCTCTCACACGGACAACTAAGAACCATTTGAATGTCTCTCAAAGGACATTGTGTGAGTCAAAGGAACTGTTCTCATGACTTATCTGTGTGGTTCTGCATAACAAAGAGGTTTACCTTATTCTTTACTGATCTTCTGCATTGCATATTCTTTCTCTAGTAAGACAGTGTGTGGAAAAGGAAAAGGCCTGGGGCTGTTAGGAATGGTGGGAGTTGAAGTCCAAAACACCTGGAGGGAGGCCAAAGTTTTGCCCATGCCTGGTCTAACCTGTGCATTCATAACAACCCTGTCAGTGGGAACTGGTAGGCATGCTTTCTTTCTTTTCTTTTTTTTGCACTGGGCTCGTGAGCTGAGCATTGCAAATCCATCACACCCAAGGTCACCTTTGCAGCAGACTGGATGACAAGGCTGTAATTTCCGAAAGATCTGGGCAGTGAACTGCAAAGGTGGCCAGGCCCTGCTTCAATTAATTCTGGCCGGCGGTGATATGTTCTCAAGGTTAACTCTTTGAGCAGAGCTTGGACTTCGAGCCTTTCCTGCAACCTCTTGGCCTTAAATCTCATTGCTTTGATAAGTGTTTGACCTCTTGTTGTTGTACCTGGAAACCTACACAAACGACCAGCCACTGCCAGAAGGGACAGAGAGTTTCATCTATGCTGATGATCGTGCCATCACCACTCAAGCAGGGAGCTTTGAGATGGTTGAACAGAAGCTCTCCAAAGCTCTAGGTGCTCTTACTGCATATTACAGGGGAAACCAGCTGATCCCTAATCCATCTAAAACACAGACATGCGCCTTTCACCTTAAGAACAGACAAGCATCCCGAGCTCTGAGGATTACCTGGGAAGGAATCCCACTGGAGCATTGCAGCACACCCAAATACCTGGGAGTCACTCTGGACCGTGCTCTGCCCTACAAGAAGCACTGCCTGAACATCAAGCAAAAAGTGGGCGCTAGAAACAATATCATACGAAAGCTGACTGGCACAACCTGGGGATCACAACCAGACACAGTGAAGACATCTGCCCTTGCGCTATGCTACTCTGCTGCTGAGTACGCATGCCCAGTGTGGAACACATATCACCACACTAAAACAGTAGATGTGGCTCTTAATGAGACATGCCGCATTATCACGGGGTGTCTGCGCCCTACACCACTGGAGAAATTACACTGCTTAGCCGGTATTGCACCACCTGACATCCGCCGGGAAGTAGCAGCCAATAGTGAAAGGACCAAGGCAGAGACATCTCCAACTCATCCCTTGTTTGGGTATCAGCCAGCACGTCAACGACTTAAATCAAGAAATAGTTTTCTTAGATCTACAGAGACACTCGCTGGAACACCTCAGCAAGCGAGAGTTCAAAAGTGGCAGGCTCAAACCCAGCACCTCAATCCGTGGGTGATACCAGATGAGAGACTCCCCCCTGGGCACACAGAAGACTGGGCGACTTGGAAGGCACTGAACAGACTGCGCTCTGGCACCACGAGATGCAGAGCCAACCTCAAGAAATGGGGCTACAAAGTGGAATCCACGACATGCGAGTGTGGAGAAGAGCAAACCACTGACCACCTGCTGCAATGCAACCTGAGCCCTGCCACATTCACAATGGAGGACCTCTTTGCAGCAACACCAGAGGCACTCCAAGTGGCCAGATACTGGTCAAAGGACATTTAATCAACTACCAAGTTTGCAAAATCTGTGGGTTTTTTTTTATCTGTTTTGTTCTGTTAGAAATGTAATACAATGGTATGGTTGCTGATGACACGATAAATAAATAACCTGGAGACCTGAACTGATGAGATTTATTTACATCCTAAATGAGCAATAATAACAAACTTTCCATCCAGCTAATGCCCAAGGACAGGCACGGGCAAGCTTCGTCCCTCCAGGTGTTTTGGACTCCAACTCCCACAATCCCTAACAGCCTACCGGCTGTTAGGAATTGTGGGAGTTGGAGTCCAAAACACCTGGAGGGACGAAGCTTGCCCATGCCTACTCTTGGGCATGACATTACTGTCCTTGTCTCAGTATTTCTGACCTGTTGAGGAAGGCGTTGCCGAAGGCGTTGAGCTTCCGGAAGGGCCGCTTGGGGTCCACGACCAGGGCGTTCCCGGGAACGATGCCCTCCACGTCGCCCTGCATCACCGCAATGAAGGAGTCCGTGGTCGGCTCCGGACCGATGCGCATCCCGGGGAAGTCCTGCTCAAGGAGGTACCTGCAAAGGTGAAACCAACATCTCAATTCAGGCCTTTCCACTTGGAATAACAACCCTGTGACCAGTTCTAGGCAAACAGACAACCTACATAAATAAAAATGTAATGTGCGTTTGTGGGATTAACAGAACTCAAAAACCACTGGACGAATTGGCACCAAATTTGGACACAAGACACCTAACAACCCAATATATGTCCTTCACTAAAAAAAAAATATGATTTTTGTCATTTGGGAGTTGTAGTTGCTGGGATTTATAGTTCACCTACAATCAAAGAGTATTCTGAACTCCACCAATGATGGAATTGAACCAAACCTGGCACATAGTTCTCCCATGACCAGCAGAAAATACTGGAAGTGTTTGGTGGGCAGTGTCCTTTGGTTTTGGAGTTGTAGTTCACTTACATCCAAGCGATCACAGTGGACTCAAACAATGATGGATCTGGACCAAACTCTACACGAATACTCAATATTCCCAAATGTGAACACTGGTGGAGTTTGGGGAAAATAGAATCTTGATATTTGGGAGTTGCAGTTGCTGGGATTTATAGTTCACCTACAATCACAGAGCATTCTGAACCCCACCAATGATAGAATTGGGCCAAACAACCCACACAGAACCCCATGACCAACAGAAAATGCCGTGTTTTCTGGTGGTCTTGTGTGACCCTTCTGATACCCCCCTGGAAATGCTGTCTTAGGGCCATTCAGTCCAACTCTCTTCACCAGGGCAAGAAAACATAATTAAAGCCCTCCTGACAAAGGGCCACTGGATGAATTGACACCAAATTTGGACACAAGACGCTTAGCAGGCCAACAAGTGACCATCACTCATAAAAACACTGAAAAACACAACGGAAGGGACTTAAAAAGCCAAAAAAA